AACGATGTACGTCACGAGTGACCCTTTGTTATAGTAAAACAATGTTTAATTATGAAATTATTTAATTTTACACTCCATATTTTTTCCATATTTTTTTATGTTTTCGTCCTTATTTTATGTACATATTTTAGATTTTTTAATACATATTTATCCGGGCCCTAATTATAAGTGGCGTGGCGTTATGCAAGCTCTGACATGTTAATGTTAGAATAAACTCGTCGCGATTGGCAGTCCGGATAATCGCGAATTCGGATAACCGAGGTCCGGATAATCGGGGTCCTACTGTATTATGGTATGCTTCAGTTATGCTTTAGTGTTTGTTTCATGTCAATCGGTTCATAAATAAAAAAGTTATGTCAAATTAAAGAATCACGTCGAACGAAGTCGCGGGCACAGCTAGTGTTTAATATATTGGCATATTTCTACAAAATTTGTAATATACGTTACCTGTATAGAAATTGAATAATAAAATTTTATAAGTAGTAAAATGTATTTATTATATTTTATTATATTTGAATTTGAATAATGAATCAAATAATGGTTTTCTAAGAGGAAGTCACCAAAACTTGAGGCAAGAAAAGAAAATTTATATAAAAGAGAGTTCAAATAGAGAATATAGTTTAATTTAACATTGTTTAGCCATTCATAAATACTAGCTTTACTTCATTTAGTCACGAGAACCGTATTGGCATCGAAGTTAATAAATAAAATATGAAATACAGTTTTTTAAAATAAAATTGTTAAAGTAAAATATAGAATACAATTTAATTTTTTTCTCCTCTTTATTACCAAAATTTCGAGTTCGTGCTATGCACACAATTAAATTTTTTATAACTATAACTTTGGCGCTATTTAAAATAAACGTAAAAACTTTTTCCAATTGATGGACACAAAAATAAATATTACTAATTTTATCTTTAGTAGTTTTTATTTAATGCAATCATTAAATAAAACCCAGTTTAAATGCATAAAGACATAACAGAATTTATGATGTGTTTAAAGAATATTACGTTAGCGCCAAAGTCACTTTGCGCCATCAGGCTTAGCATCGTTAGTATATCCTCTATAAATCAGAGTGTAGCTAGAATATCGTATGTTATTCTAAGCCTTTCAACCTGGAAGCTTTATAAATTTGTTGGTTTGTTGAAGTTTAATTTCGCTTGATATATAATGCACATGAAACATAATACATAATATCTTAGTTTTGTGTGTGCGTTAAATTACTTTGGTGTATTTCCAAACATGATAAAATTTCTGTATACATAGTTAATGTACATGAAACATTGAAAAAATATGATATCAATTACGTAAACTTACATGACTTCTTTAATATTGAGTAAATGCTAAAAAAGTTCTTAGCTTTTAGTCGTAAGGACTTTTTAATTTGAATAATTCTTTGCTCAAAAAAACCAAAGGGAAAACTTAAATACCTTGATTTGAGACTTAGCTTCCATCAATAGTTTAAGTCGCATAAATGATTGGTGATTTCAAAATTTAATTATGTTTATTAATACTTTTGGGTCGGAAAAATGGTTTTGATTTACATTTTGTGTGTCTAACACTTTTAATAGCATGTCCAAACAAACAAAACTGAAAAAATTACATAAAAAATATTAAAGTAGCAATGGTTTAGTAGATAGTGTTATATATGACTAGGCACTAGGGAGCGCGTTCGATCCTGGCAAGTGCCAATGTGATTTTTTCGAGTCAAATGTACTTTCAGATAGTATTTAGACACCACTGATTAATGCATTCCCAAAGAAGGTTGGTGTCAGGCAGGCGGCCGGTCGTAAAAACAATTAGCCAAAACTATTCACAACATGTAAGGCAAACCCTGGTTAAACCTGGGAAATTGCCAGGTAGAAGAAGAAGAAGAAGTTATATATGACTATAGTTGTTCATCAAATTACACACATATACATAGATTTAAACAAACTATGAAATATATGATTTAATTTGTATGTATGTAAATGAATTAAAAACAGTGATAATAAAACAATGATGCTGTGTAAATCGTCAACAAAAGTAGTTACCGGGTTTATCTAGATGTTTGAGGTCTCCTAACGTCGCTTAGGTAAAATTTACGGTCTCCGTAATGACTTTCTGCTGAGTCAGCGCATTACAAACAAATTCTATATGATAAAGAACAAATGCTAATTATATTTCGAAACATATTGACGAATTTACATTTAAAAATTCAGATAGTAAAAAAGATATTAAAGGATTAATGATTAATGATTTTTTTTTCAAATACTACATAAGTGTTTTTATAATTTTTTATTTATATAAATGATCCCGACGTCGAGATGAAAGTTTCTGTCAGTTAGTCTTGTTATTCGTCATCTCTGGCAAACTATTTCTAATTTAATGAAACTAAAATTTTTCGGATGTATGTACTACGCGATTTTTATTTTTGATTATAATTGATATGCCTTTAGATGATTATAGACGAGATGCCCGTCTGCTCATGATCACGGTTGCTGTAAAGTAACCGAAACGTCGGGAGTATGTAGTTTATAGTCAAAAATAAAAATCGCGTACGTAGTATATCCGAAAAATATTAGTTTCATTTAAATGAATACTCGCGAAAATCTTATATATCATAATAAAAACTCTTTTCTAATCAGGTGAAACAATATATATGTATTAAAATGTACAACGAAAAATATCTCATTTCATCATGCGTTACGAACGCAGCGTAACCTAACCGGTAAATAATAGAGCTTTATATAGACTGCTTGTTTTATAAAATTACCCTACTACAAGTAATTTAAATGCAATGCATAATGTAATGGATATTTAGAGTAACTTTACTTTATATAAAAGTAATAACATAAGAGTAAAATTATATAATTTTATAGACACAGTTTCATGAGGATTGAAATTATATATAAAACGTTTTGAAATTTAATGCAACTATTTACATAATAAAATAAATATATTTTTGACTATTATTGGATAGAAAATTTGTTATAGTTATGACTATTAGCTTTTTTTCAAACTAATATTTTCAATATTATAGTTTCGTTAAATATTCCTATTTACTTATGGATGTTTATATGTTTATTTGTATATATATGTTATCAAACTGATATCACACATATTTAAAATTTAAAAGTCATTTGTACTGAGACTGCAATTGCAATAGGAAAACCATTTATTGCAATTAATATTGATTATTAATTCCGTATCAAGAAGGTATACATATAAATATAGTATAATAATAGAAATAAAAGTGATAGATTTAATGTTTATAAACTTTGTTATAAAAGTAATTGGTAAAGCAATAACCGTTTGAACGACTAACCCATTAATCCGATGGCACACTTTCCAACGATTGCTCTGAAGCAAATCTATCAGAGGACATTCGAATACATTTTATTTTAAAATCTATTTATAGAACATATTCTGATAATAATATTAAAAGTGAAGTCAATAAAAATGTCCGTCATTCCCTAAAACAGAATAGATTTCAAAATAGGTGTAGAATTTCATAGTAAATTACAGTTTGGTGCAAAGCCGTGAGGCAAACGACGTTAATATAACAAGCTCGTCCTTTACAAGCCTTATTCCTTTTTATACAGGGCACATCGTGTAAATTAAGCTACGACTAAATAAGCCTTGTTGTACTTAAAATAAAGGTTAGTATGATATGACAATGTTATCACTTTCGTTGTACATCTGGATAATATCGCATGGGATTTCGTTCACAAAGAGCACGTTTGTGTTGACATGTTAAACATGATTGCGTATGTTTTTCTTTAACAGAACATTTTTTATATTGTACTGACAATGTTGAGTTATGAAGTGTAATAAAATGCGTTGTTTTTCTCTGTGTATATTGATTTTTTTGTTTTATATTTTGACGTAGAACATGTTGTTTTGGCTGACAGCACAATTTATATTTAAAAAAAATACGCATTTTGCATATCAGTAAATGAATTAATTAAAGCGGTTGTGAAATATTCATCAATTTAATATAATGAAATGGAATAATTGGTTTCTATTAATTCGAGTAATAATTCAATTCTGTTGTTCTAAACGCATTGCTTTGTGAATGTCAATTTGAATAAATGCATTCATTTGAATGCATACGTGAACTTTTGAATGAATATTTGTGATTCAATTAATCAAATAAACAGTGTATACATTTATCTAAGTTAAAACTTATGTCTCTATATGAAAGTGAAGTCTGGGCTGGTATATCACATTTTATCTTTGTTGCCATATATGTATAGATTTCGAAGTTTTTTAAAATAAAAAGTACCTTTATAATATAAAAAACCTATCAAAGGATAGTTTGTTTATTTAAAGTATAGATGTCAAAGCTGCGATTTGTAAAGTTAATTCATTTATTTATGGTTTAATCCGGAATGAGTTTCAAATTGAATTTATTATTAAATATCCTTTGGACACTTACATGAATTTGAATAAGATTTAATTATATTTTTAATGAATTCGATGAATAAATTGAAATAAAACAAATGAATGATTATTTAAAATTTTAATAACCATGTTTAAATGTAAACTTACAAAATATTTGAATGTTATTGAGTTTGGCACACTTTGAGCTGATACAATCGATTGCTTTGGTTTTCGATATTATGTTTTATTATATAAGAAATAATCATCGTCATCTTAGGTATAATTAGATTTAAACTTCACTTATTAACTACGAGTAATTTTAACTACTACATAATATACGAATAATTGTAATCGACAAACAAATCAATTAATTATTGTTGTATATAATTAATTAATTAATATGAGACAGAAAACATACTACACTTGCAAATATTTACAATCATAAAAATCGCTACTAATATAAAACATTAGAAACATGAACATCAATAATGTTATATTTACAAAGACAGATAGTGAAGATTCACAACTTTACTTAAAACTATACGAGATATGGTATTTACAAAGTCACATCACAGACTCTTGGAGTGGATCTGTGAATTGCTTGTATATAACTACACGTAGGACGACGGTTGGCGTTAGTGTAGCTGACTCTTAGTACTAAAACCGTAATGCAAGTAGGGGGAATCAGCGCCCTCCCTCGCCCCCCCTGGCCCCCCTCCGGCACCACTCGGACACTTCAAAGCTGAACGCAGCTCAGAGGCCATATCCGAACAAAGAGAGGCCTAAGCAAACATATTAAATGGTATAAAATGCAAAACTAACGTAAGTTTTAGCTTAGAATAGATTTACCTCTTCCTTCTGGATGGCAGTGAAACAGAAATTATTGCTGTGAATGTTAATTATATATATTTTATAAGGAAAACCGTATCGTCTAGCGTGATAAGTATAGCGATAGACTAATAGTGTGTACTAGCAACGGAAAAAATAAAAAATATATTTTACCTATTTAAAAGTAAACCTAGAACAAATTAAAATATGAATTAAATTCAATTGAATAGTAAATGTTCGTTCCCATGATATTGTTTAGACAGGACTTTTGTTAATTACATTCAAATAATAAAATGGATACCCCCAAGGTAGTATAATACCCAAACTTAAGATATAAAGGTTTTAAAGAAAAACAATTCCATTTAAAGAAATGTAATCCTTTCATCATGATAAACATTCGTATATTTTTTTTAACTGAAAAGAATATTTGATATAAAAAAATAAGCTTTGTTTATGAAACTGTCGTAAAAAAAATGAAATAGCGATCTTACCCGTTCATCAACAGCAACTTTCCTTGATTTCCATACAAATTCGCAGACAGCGATTACACAAGCGACGCCCATGCCGCCCATCAACACAACAAACACGCCGCCCACGTTCGCCAAACCCAACTCATTGGCGGTGGATGAGGATTTTGATGTTTCATCCTTATTCATACAATTTTAATTATTCAACGCTTAATTATAAAAATGAAATCATAGAGCATATAAAATTCTATACACGCAAATCTGGATATTATAGAAATGATTTTTAACAAAACAAAAAAAGATTCTTGTACTTCTTGATCAAACCCGAATAAATAAACAGATAAAGTTCCATTTCTTAATAAATGATGATTGAAAATTATTAAAAACGAAAGCAAAGAAACATAAAATCGTTTGATTCGAAAGAATACTCTCATTTTAAATCAGGAAGAATAAAATTAATTCTATGTAAAAAAATGTACTAAATTTGAAAGGGCATTGAATAAAGTAGGTCATTCATAAAATAATACAGAATATTTAGATGACATCGTCCTTATTTTGGACGGAAGGAGAAAATTCATGGACTGAATTCATCGGTCCATTCAGTGTAATAAGGTTAGTGTAACAACCCCCAGCAAGATAAATCGCTTTTATAAAATAAAGTTCGAGTCACGTCCCTTTGTACTTTTCGGAATCAGATTTCGTTTTACACATTATATTCATTAAGTTCAAATACATGGTCTACGTTTATTTTAAACAAGTACGTAAGTTAAATGAAATAAATATTTTTCGGATTACTATTAGTATTTTATTATTTTTGTTATAACAATACCAATTAACAGAAATTCACATCTCGTCTGCTCGTGATTACAGTTGCTGTAAAGTAACCGAAACGTCGGTACTATGTGGGTTTTAAATATGATAAAATACGCGTAGTAATCCGAAAAAAAAAATAGTTTCATTAAAATGAATAGTCGCGAAAGTCTTTGAACTCATTACGTAAGTTAACATTTATAAGGAATAAGGAAAAAAAATTTAAGGTTGTTCGATTTTAATGACTAAAAATGCAATACGTACTCTACACGATCCCCCGCCGCGTTTCTCTTTCCACCATTTCGTTTTTAATATGTGAAGTTTACCCTCCTCTTGTAACTTCAAAACAGCACCGCTTATAGCGGTACGGTAAGGTGAATCTGCAAACGCAGAGATCTATGACCGGAACTGCTTTATTATGAAATATGTATATTCTGCAGCGCTTATTCATTTTTATAAAAGTCTAGGAAGTAAAATTTCATTTAAAATTTAAATTTAATTTATAATTTTATTCAGACTTACTGGGTGGCATAGCAATTCCATATCCTTTGGAATCCAACATCCCCCCTACTTGAGTGAGGTCACAGTTTCTTTCCACAACATATTCGATGGTGGTAGATTCCATGAGATATGCATAAGCACCTTTCCCCCTCATAACCCTCTCCTCCCCTTCTTTATTGCTGCTCGTGAATACTGAAGGTCGAGCCGACTCCATAAACGACCACATCCGTTGGTATGTCGAAAAATTTGAATCCTGGTGATATAAAATTGTTTCCATATGTAAAGAGAATTTGTTCCGCATTTTTGTATATAAAAGTTATAATACAGTTCAATCGCAATATGTAGGATTCTGTTTTTATCTTTTACCCTGAAGAAAGCTGCCGTAGATCCTCCTTTGAGGGCACCATATTTAATTTTTGTCTGCTTGGCCAAATCTTCGGCGCTTTCGATGGGTGAGTCCATACGTTCGACTGTCAGGAATGCGGCCAGGTTAGCAGTATATGAAGATATCATGATCAAAGTGAAAAACCACCACATTCCTGCCACCATCCTTGTTGACACGGCTCTAGATGATAAATTTTAAAATAAGAACCAATAAAATCATTAAAATAATGTTACACATAAATTTCTACCCTAATTTAAAAGTATTGGTTTAAATTTAAGAAAATATTTCGTTGTAAACAAACAGGTGAAAGAGCACTGTTTTATATACGAGATAATAAAAAATAAATTTATTTCAAACATTCCAGACAAGGCCCCATCAAGGTTCGTCCTTTCATTGGCTCTATCCTAATGACTTTTACCTCAGACGATACGCTAGTATCTAAATGTAATTTATTAACACAAATTCAATTTATTCACAACTTTTTTGACTTTTATCGCAACCTTTTAAGCGTACCTTTCGGAATAATAAACAAAAAAATTAGTATTCATCAAATATTACATAGTTATTTTAGATGAAGGGATTAAAGTTGACTCATCTGGCCCAAAATTTATAGATCATCGTTAATCTATTCTGTCACTTAGAATTTAATAACTTATCTCCTAACGGTTCCTCAATATGTCGTGTAGTCTATTTCATGTCCTGTTCAAGTTGACACAATAACGTGATTTAACTTTGTTTAAACCAGACACATATGTATGTATTCAAATATAATTGATTTAAAACCTATTATACTTAATATCTATGTATAAGAACGATTTTGCATATATTATAAGTGTAATAAACCAATTTTCTGTTTATGGAAAATCGATCTTAAATTCACAAGCTACGACACTTTAAAACTTGATGCAGCAAGCTATGGATACTATAGAAGCACAAAAATATTGCGTGCAGTATTTATCATCATAATTGAAATTAGCAACTAAATTACTTTTTTAGCTTACTAGTAAAAATCAAGAGATTTAATTCGCAACACGTTTCTATTTCCATCAGTCGCTCTTGGCGATTACCGAAGCTTGAAATTCACAAAGGGCTGTGGTCGCTTTGAAACTAATTAGCAAAAGGAAGTTCTTAAAGCGATGTGGATCATGGAATAGTTTCTCATTAATCTGCTAAAAGATTTCCTTTTCGTGATAGTCCTTTGGGAATTTTTATTTCTAAGTCATATTTTCACTCAGTCGGTGATTTATCGTGTTCAGCGATCGGACTTACTTCGGTGCGATATCCGAACCTTGCTGCATCAAGGATCCGATTGTGAACCACAGCGAGTTCAACAGTGTGAACTGATTCTCCAACACCTGCGGCTCGTCTAGACAGTTCCGGGGGCTGTCCCACTCGTACGGGCTGAACCTGCGCCCAAATACGCCCATTTAAATTCGATTAAATTTTTTTCTGCCAATCATATGCCAAACTATGGTTATCATTGAACCATGAATGGCGATTTTGTTTACCGAATTTTCGATAATACAAACATTCTAGATGATCTCATATCCCCGAAAAAGTTTGCTGTGGACTTCGCTGAGGTCACTATAATCCTGATACATTCGTTTTCTTAACTATAACTAATATTCTCATAGACACGTGTTTCTTTATATGCTATCTTACTTGGGTAAAAAGTCACAACTTTGCTGCATTAGAGATCCAATTGCAAACCACAAGCAGTTGGAGAGGGAGAAAATATTTTCCATTTTTTCTCCGTCCGGCGTATGCGTTTGATGCCATTCGTATGGAGTGAACCTATTAGATTAACTATTTTAATTGCTTAACGTACGATGTTTGAGCGGGAATGATTTTATTGGAATCCTTCGATGGAATTTATTCCATTACCATAATGCGACCAGTAGAAGAATGCAAGACGTTGCTTGCTTCATTATTTATATATTCACAGTGTTATGTAACTAAAACGATTGGATATGTTTAAGTTACTACGTCACTAAAGTGCCTTAGAGACTATCATATATACGTGCACACATAGACACACTCCCACTCTTTATTCATTCATCTTCTAGCACTCTAAAAGACTAGCAACAGTATTTGTATAAAGGTTTAAATTGATTATATGTTAATTTTATTTCATCTTATGTTTAATACATTTTCCAAACCTGTAAAATGCCAATGTAGAGAATAAATTTGTTTCAATTACTCTGCTTTGATCAAACAGTCCGTAAAAAAATATATCTACCTCGGTGATCGCTGCAGTGTATTGTAAAATGTGTAAATATAAACGAAATAAATTTCAACAATGATTCAAACTTTGTTTATTAATAGCTTAGATATTGTTCGATTATTAAACTCACCTGGCCAATATGAATAGCAGTACAGATACGCCCAAGTACGCTGTGGCCATATATATCCATACATCAAGCGAGAGAGGTGACAGGAATGAGAATAAGTTTGGAGGCTGCTTAATAGGTTTGCGGTAGAGCACTGAGATGCCAAGATTCATAAACGGCATTGTGAAGTCTACCACTTGTTCCCTGATACGATAAAGATTACAATCGAATCTTATTTGATTATTATTAAACAGAATAATATCTCAATATTATATCTGGTTATTGTAATTATGTTTCAAAAGGTATAAAAACAATGAGAAGGAATTAATACACCAAATAAAAATGTTATAAAAATAAATAATTTTTTTTAAAGTTTCTATTCTTATGAATCATACCTAAGTTATATCATCAATCTCCATTAAAGTTTAATGTATTTTAAACGAAACCAATATTTCTAAATTAACTCTACTCAGTTTTGCTTTGATGTGGCAAATTATCCAATATTCAAAACATTAAGTCGTTAATAATCTCAGCACTTAGTATCGTGGGCGTTAAAACTCGGGGGAAATCACCTCTAAATTACTTTCATATTTATGTATAGTTAATTACCAAAAAAACTAAGATTTTATATATAAAGTTATTTTCATATTATCTTAAAATCTTCACTTATTCAATGGTATATTACGGGATCCAATACTGTCGAAGGTATTTATTTATATGAAACTAATATTTTCAGATTACTTAGCGTTATTTTATTATTTTTAAAATTAAATACTCCCGTCGTTCCAGTTACTTCGCAGATAAAATTACGTTCAATTCAAATGTCAATGGGATATTTTTTATATACTGATATAGATAGTAGCTGTAATATTTCAGAATAAAAGCTAATTACCTGTCATAAGTTATTGTGAGATCAGCTATAGCAACATCAGCTCTTTGTTCGAGCAGTTCCCTGATCATGCCGTCCCACTCTTTAGTCTCCCTGTTGTAAGAACCGTATCGACCGTCCGGCGCTAGCTTGAATGTGTAATTGAAACCCAGAATTTTAGATATCTCATGAATGAGATCAACAGCGTAGCCTTCGAATTGAGCGTTCCCTGTCAATTTTTCACTCGCTTCTCTCCGCATGCAATATGGAGCGCTCTAAAAATTTCAAATTCACACAGGTTATTTGATGAGTGAATTAACTATGACATATATTCAAATATAACTGCTTTGTACCATTTATTCGCTTTAGTGAATTCAAGTAAACGTCTATTATACATTCCATTAAATGTAATGGAAAACATTGAATCTAAAAAGATTGCAATGATAATTCTTAAAGCGTGAGATACTTTGTAAGAATGATTTTCCCAATGGAAATATTTTCCATTGTAGAGGCTTTACTGCTACGTTTTATATTTATTTTCTCCACAGTCCCTAATGTATGTCATCCGTAAGAGGCATACGCATTATATAGAAGCGTCATTGCTATATAAAATCTTACCAAGATGGTTGTGACGACAAGGGTTTTGTTTTGAAGTATCTCGACTATTTGTTTTTGGTTATCCCCGTAAGATCTTGTGTAATTGACACCCTCCGAAGAGTTCCAAACACCGGCTTTCTGAAGTCCATCTCTAGTTAGTTCAATGATATCGAGAGTAAAATCACTTCTGAACCCTTGGTGGTCAAACTTTATAACGCCTGTTAAGCCCCTCATTTCGACCTGTTCATTATAAATAAATGTAAATGTCAAAGTTAGGCTTGGAGAAATTAGAATGAAAACGTTTTCATTATATAATAATTTAAATATATAGCTAAGTTCTTGACTTAGTAATTGTGTCTTGGCAAAGTTTTGAGCCGGTTCAATTTTAAATGCTACATTTTGTAGAACATTCTTAACCACTATCTTCTCAGTAGTATATTTACATAAATTTCAAAAAGATAGTAATAATTCAAATATTATAAATTCATTAATTGCTTATAAACTTGAACCAAAAATGATTATTTTGTATATATATGAAGTCATGCCAATAATTTTTGATTAATAGTGATGAGAACTTCTTCAACGTATTGACTGTTCCAATATTTGCCAGATTTTATCGAGGGATATTTGGAGACACAGTGATTTTATTTTTCTGATTACAGTAAATTGAAACCTATCGTGTTTGGAATAAGAGTCCTAATAGTATACTTACGATTTTCATGTAGTTAATGAGACTGTACCCGTGGGGCCATGTGTCTTCGGCTTCGCATGACAAGGGTCTTACATCGATTTGTTGCGAAGTGTCAAGGTCGTGTAACGCTTTCGCAAATAAATGAACCGCATCGTATATTAAAGCGGTCTCGGTCTACAGGGAAAAGTGAGCTCTGATTCAAAAATTCCAACTTGGAAATACATGTTTAATTATAATAAATCTAAACTAATAAAACACGAACTACAGCATAATAAACAAAAGAATATTCTATCCAAAATGTAATAGCATCGATTGTCTTACCTTTATAAAAGTCATATTTTCCTGAAACAAAGAAAATGATGTAGTTTTCTATAGCCGGCTCAAGTGTCGGGTGTCCAACAGACATATAAAATTTTATTACCTTAGCCGATGTGTGCCCCAGTTGCAGCTTCCTTCCCTTTCTGGCTTCGTCGTAAACCCAATCTCGAACGACTCTTTGTACCTCCGCTCTTTCGGGATCGAGGAGACGCAACGCTGTTATATTTGTACCTCCATATTTGAATTCCTCTAAATCTACGCTATGCAAGTCCTTGGACAAAAGAATGTATTGTTCATACATTTATTTGAATCTCAAGTGCGATGTTTAATATTTTGATGTTATATATACTTTATATTGCTACAGCGTATTAAAGAAATAAGATGTACTATGTCTACAAATGATAATAGGGTTATACAAACTTACCAATGACGTTATAAGGTAGCTGTGATAATCCGACATCATTCCGATCTGCTGTGCTTGTTGGAGCACATCTCTTATCCTCTCAGTAGCGCAGTCAAGTACTATGTGAGACTCGGCTGAATTCTTTATTTGTTTCAATAGCGGTCTACAAATAATTTGCATTAATAATATGTTGGTAGTTATTAATTCTAAATAATACAACTTATAAATGATATTATATTATTTAGAGTGAAATAGTATTTATTATTGAATTTTGTAAATATACGGGAGAACAATTTATAACCCTCCAGCTATTTATTTGAATAAACCGATCTTTCGTGATGTCTCCAAAGAAATACGATGTTTTTCGTTCTTTCGCGTCATTAAATAGTGTTTGTTTTTAAAGAATTGTTAATGGATATCGTAGTAACTTGAACTAACCTGTAGTCGTATGAATCTGGTAGTTGTCTAACAGCAACAGGTAATTCTGATGGACCATGGGCTTTCAAAAGTTCTTGTAAACGAACCAAACCATCACTGTTCTCGTATACTATGGTAAATGACTTCCATCCCCAAGCGCGCACGAGGTCAACGTACGCCTAAAATACACATTTTAATGAACTATATTTAGATTTTTTCGCGATATCTTTGGTTAATTTAACGTCACTAGTAATGCTTTTTGTGAGTTTGATTTACGAAATAATAATAAGAGTATTCTAAAATTAACCCGAAACGTTATTTAAGTAACAAAGAGCCTTATCAAGGATGATTCCTGCCACGAGAACGACAATTCACGAAAGTTTTGATGAATTGCGATAAATTATTATTTTGGGGAACAAACAAACGCAAAATTATATTATTGTATTCATAGTAACTAGTATTGTAGTTTTACTATGTTTCGTAATTAAAATACGTATAGAGACTTCTATAAAATTATTCTATGTACTCAATTTTAACTTCTTTTGACATACATATGTACGAAATTAATTCATGAAAGTTGGTCCAATACAAATTGCTTTAATCAATAAGTATGATTTAAATGTATCTTTTATTGTTATTCTCTAATTATAATAATTTCTTTGTAACACTGAATCCACGTAATGTACTGAAAGACTAGAAAAATGTTTGCTTCAAATCCTAATGACATACAATCGTTTTGGAACCTGTATTTTTCTAGCTTTCGTGCAATTTATTATTGTGAAACAAGTTATTTCTATTACTAAGATCCTTTATACCACTCGGGTCCATTTTATCATACCTCGATGAGTTATTTTCACGTCGTTACAAAATAATAAAAATGAAATAAAACGTTATTTTCTTTGTGAAATACTGAAATATTATTAAATCGTGCTCTTTCTATAATAGTAATTTAATATATTTATTTTTATACATATAAATATCATATATTATATTAACATATACATATAATAACAATGTACAAGTAAGAGAAGTATAAAAATAAAAAAAAATATCATTTCATTTTTATTCAAAAGCTTGCTGAAATATAAAATTTGAATGTAATGCATATAAATGAACTCACAAAAAATGCATACTTCTACTGTATCTTCCTTTCATTTTCTTTAAACTGCACCCATATTTTCATCTAATATATTTTCTTATAAGAATTTATGACATAAAATCTTTTCCAAATAGAGTATTGCGTAAACTATCTTGTATCAAACGCTTACCCGACTTAAAGCAGCTGGGTGTGGATACAAGTTGACGAGACAGGATTCACGTCGTGTTCGATAATCCCATCTCGTCTCCAGATGGGGCAGTTCCATAGTATCACAGATGGATTGGATGTGGGCAGCCGCTGGGGCAGATTGGGGGCCAAATATAGCAGCTACTCCACTTCGAAGAAGGTGGCATACTGTATAACAATTTGATTTATAATACAAATTACTTTTATATAAAGCATAATTACGATCAAATAAATTGAATTCCAATGTTATTTTGCCTATTTTTTTTTTCAAATAAATATAAAATATTTAATTCCAATTGCACAGTCAAAATAAACTTCTAAATTTTATTCCATTCTTTACTACACGTACAATTGAAGATTTAATTGAAGCTTGGATATATAACAGACCTCTTTTCGACGCGTGGAAACTGTCCTGCGGAGATATTGTTTCAACTTGAGCTAATAATTTGGCTCTAGGAAGAACGGCGCGGTCAGCGTTTACCCTCTCAACAGCATAACGAAATGCAACCTCTTGTTTATCATCCTCAGGATGGAATAGACCTCCTATAGTACAAACAATTAGATTAATCATAGATATAAAAGGTTAAAATTAGTATAGAATCATTGTTTCATTTACTTGGCTTAAAATAAAGAGACCAAAAGACTAGTTGGTAGTTACAAATGCGTTTCCTTTTTTTTGACATTTATCTGTAGAAATAAATAGGGTTGAGATAATAGTAAAGCAATTATAGAGAACTACGTTTTGTTAATTATCACATGAATCATAAGAAACATATTTATGCTGATGATTTTTACATATTAATGTTTAATTGTCAATATTTGTATCAAATTCATTAAATTATGTCATGAATATGGAAGATACGTAATACTACGAGTACAGATATATTGTAAAAGCAGAGGTTTAATAAAAGAAATATATACCAATGTCGGCTGTTGTATTCCTAATTCGTACCTTTTCATACGATCATAAAATTGCTATTCTTAGAGTAAACATATTATTTAAAATAATACAACAAAATTATTGGCTATCGCCTTATTAAAAATCTATGTCAGGAAAAATATTAATTAGGGTTTGTTAAGAGCGTACGAGTGGGATAAAGTTGATAAGTAGCTTGTTAAGAAGGATTTTTATAAGGTATTTTTGGTTGACATACAAAATTTTAACGTGAACACTTTTAAATTTTTCTAATCTAAAACATATAGACTTATAAATGGAAGAAATGTCTTAGAATGCAAATCGTTATCAGATGAATAAAATTAATGTATCAATCATAATAATTGCAAGCATTTTTGTGAATATAGTACACGTAAAAATATAATATATCCAATTAATATTCTCCTTATAAGGACATATTCTATATAATAAGGGCACACTTTGTATAATAAGGATAAGTTTTCCTTATTACCTTTCCGTTCGTTTAATTGCTTAGACAGAAAATAATTAACTGAGACAGAATGTTACCCTCAATATTTTACTGCAATATATGTATATATAACAATATATTATTATTATATTAATGTACTAAAATACCATTCAGATCTGTTTGCTCTAGCCGGAGGGAATAATTTGGGTAATGTTAAACCCGTATATGTAGTTTCAAATCTATTCCCACGGAGAAATATTATGATCACATTTATAGTAATATATAAATTTGATTTTGGTATTTATATTAACGGTAGATTTGTTTTGTTGGAGTCACTGAACCGAAACTCTAGCAAGTTCTTATATGTTTTTATTAAGAGTAAAAGAAGTCTTAGTTTAATCTCCTTTTTAGTCTCTCTGTTTAGTCTCCTTTTTCTTCTTATTTAGCTGGAGTAATATTTATAATTAATTAATTTTAGATGAAAAAATGCTGTCCAATTGACATTATTAAAAATTCCAGTAAATTAAGTTATAGATTTTTAAAATAGATTATGAAATAAATTATTATTTTTCATGTTTATTTATTTATATGTTTTGGTTATACATTATATCTTTTCTTTATAAAGAAAATGTCGAAGCAGTCAAAAATGTTTTAAGTCAAGAAATCCGAAATGTAGGCAATTAGGGCGTGCTCTCTTTTGACACTTCCTCTTAAACTTTTCGTCATCTCAACCACCTTTGATGTTACCAGAACATAATTAATGTCGACGTGCAAAAGTTTCATTTTAATTGAAGTTTTATTGATATTTATCTACTCACCTATACGAATTGTATCAGGTAGAGCGGACAGATGACCTATCAAGAGCACTAGTAGTATGGCCTTTGTTCCTGTCATTCTGAAACAATAGAAATAGTTTTAGGGTTTAATACCATATAAATCCATTAAAAATAACATAGAATACAGTAAATATTCGTTTTATAAACTTCCTAATAAAAATACTAATATTATTTTACCTTAACCAATTAACCATTTAACCAAATACTCTCATTGTAATTTAGTTTTTCACGTATTTTTTTATTATACAATATTAACATTGCCTCGTATGATTTTATAATATAAACAGCTCATAGGTACATAAAATTCTCTTTACCGTTGCAATCTTGTAAAACCTTAAAAATTTTAAAATCTTAAATAACTTCTACATAAGCTCATAGTACCGAGGCAATTAAATATTCAACACTTAATCATAGCCTTTAGATATTAGGTTATAAGTAACTTAACATACGTAATACAATTTTTCAATAAATTTTTGAAAAAAGAACATTAAAACGAGAAATCAGATTTTCACATTCTGTTATAACTTATGTGTTTTATTAACAGCATTACCTAAATAATGAGTTTATTTGACAAATAATACTACGAATTATGTGTCTATTGTTCATTTTCTTGTTTTATAATATATGTATGTTGTATATTTTGGTATATTACTTTATCAATTCATCATTGTAGCTACATATCTATATGTCTTTCTCTGCACCAACATGACATTCGGCAATTTATTCTATTAATAAAATACGCTTTCAATATTTCATGAAGGTATGCTTAGCTACTGAGGTATGATGGAACAAATATTGACAAATATATAAGAAATACATATTAATAGATAAGCAATAGTTCAAACAAACGATTGCAAATATCACGCAACGTAAAAATCTACTAGCTGTATGAAAATATCACTCGAAGTAAAGGTGTATATATTAAAAACGTTAATAAAAAGTATGAGGAAGACGTGACAATTCAATCTTTGTTGTTTACCTCGTCACATACAAAGAATTTCTCATTTATTAACGTACATTAATCTTTATCATATTTCAGCAACTGTGTTCACGGTTACCGAAAAGTAATCGAAACGTCGGGAGAATATAGTTTTTACAATAATAAAAATATGCGTAGAATAATCCAAGAAATATTAGTTTTATAAATGAATACTCGCGAAAGTCTTAGATCTTATTATAAAAACTATTAACGCTACGTATGTAGTGTGACTGTTAAACTTGTAGTAAACATACTGATCCCTCGAGAGATTGCTTTGATCAGTTTACTTATGTCAAAGATATATCAGATGTCTGTAAGACATCAATGACAAGAAACAAATACGAACATCTAAGGGACGTCAACGATATAACAAATGCTATTTTGATATTGAAAGCCTTATATTATATATTTAATACTCACGATATTTTAACAAAATAAGGCCTATATGTTGCTGATATTGAATAAAAATAAATTATGTAGTACAAAATTTTTAATTTTTTTGATATATTGTGTAAGGTCTAACTCAAAAACCAGATTAAAAGAAACCAGGTTGATTTTAACGTAATCCTATTAAAATTTTCTTTTGTTTGAATGGAACGAAGTCACGTAAAACAGCTTGTAAGAAAATAAATTTATCCTCTTCCATCCTGAAAATGCGATGGTAAATGTTGAGATGAAACCTAATTGAAGGTATTGAAGCTTCACGGTTAACTATGATTTGGGAAACTGTTACAGAACTTTAGATATGTTAGAATAATAGCTCTAATAGCTTATTGTTGTTATTAATAGCTTTTAATTTTTATATTATATATATCAGATTTATTGTACAATCATTATTTTTACAAATAGACGCGTCGGTCTCGTTGACGTTACCAATGTCACTTTGTTCCATATTAATGTAAAACTAAACTGCAATTCTTCTGAATGGCCTTATATTTTCTTGAAGGTTTTAGATTCTTCAATGGTCCGTCGTCACTGAACTCTGAATTCTCGATGCTCTATTCTGCCGTCGTGATTTCAGACGTCCAAGATTTAAAACGTAGTTCTATTCTCCTTTTAAGCAACCTTTGATTTCGTTTTACTTTTAACAATAATCATAAATACTAATGAGGTTTAATAAGAATTGAGGACAGCCTCAAAGTCGCATCCGTTATTAAAGCTGGTAGCGCCGATATATATCTTTTAGAACAAGAAAGGCAGATTATATATACTTTAGAACAAGACCTCACTTTTGTTTCAATAAAAATGATATAAAGTAACTTTTAATATAAAACATACATTTAAATATTTTAATATTTTTGCCCCCTGGTTACAACATTTTATTCATTTCATGTGTTAAAAATTTTCTGTGCTAATTTATTTTTTCTTTAATTTTATTTTTTCTTTAATTTATTTTTTAATACAAAGATAGTAAAGACATTTTGTGATTTCAGGCAAAAGGTGATAAAACTATTTACAAAACAAAAATGACATTAAAATCCGTGGAAAAGGAAATGGCCTTATCAAATAGGCTGTTTAGGAAAATGCTTCAACCGACGATCAATCGGAGAAATGATGTGTAAGGATTCAATCAGGTAGCCAAAAACCCTTGATCTTTTAGAAGTCTCAGTTTCATAATACATTGAATACAATAAATATGAGATATTGAACAAGGAAACAGTAAAACTTATATTGGTTATACTTAAAATAAATCCGCGGAGAATATTTTGCATGTAACAAAAAATAACAGGAACTTTATGACTTCACATATTTAATAATTGCATGAATAAATACAAATAAATTGGGTTTATTATTATTTTGTTTATTAAATATTTACGTAAAGTTAAGGAAATACTTATATTTTTAAACTTTTTAACATACGATAAGGTATTACTCACTGTCATCAAAGATTTCAAAGTAGTTGTCTAAATATATGTATCTCTACTTGTTTGTTATATGTAATATGATACAGATATTTCTAATCAAATCTTGTCCGATTCGATTTTATCATCCAGACTAAAGTAATTAACATATATCCCAGTCTGAACTCACAGAAGCTATGTCCCTTTTAAATCCATAACTTCTCAAGTATACATGATCAGCCTATTAATTTTTTACCAAGAAAAAGAGAAGGTTTAAACGTGTCCAGAAAGGATTTCCTTGTTAATTGAAGTCGTTCTTCCTTTTCTATTCTTCTCTTCATTTCAATCTATATTTGCTTCCATAGAAATAAATGCTTATTAATTATCAAAACCTTGATAATGTCTACAAACCTCAAAGCAGTTCAGAGACGTTTGACAACATTTTTAACTCTATCCCTGATAATATTATGTAATACTGTAAATAATATAAGTGTTTCTGACCCAGGTCGTAATAGTGAGCAATGCTAGTTGAAAATGCTTATAGAAGAAAA